GATGAATCTTGTTTTTTTATCCATTCTGATACCCTATGTCTTTTGATTGGAGCATTTAGTCCGTTTACATTCAGAATAAGTATTGATACATACTGGTGCCATTTTATTACTTTTTTTGTCATTGTTTCTGGAGATTTTCTATGTTCTTTTCTAGTCTTTGTCACTTTTGGTCTTTCCTTCCTACTCAAATAGCCCTCTTTAATTTTTTTGCAGGGCTGGTGTAGTGTTCACAAAGACCTTTAGCTTTTGTTCATCTGGGGAATTCTTTATCTCTCCTATTCTGAATGACTGCCTTCCTGGATAGAACACTCTCACCGCAGATTTTTCCTGTTCAGCACCTTGAATATATCTTGCCACTCTCTTCTGGCTTGTCAAGTTCCTGTGGAGAGGTCTGCTGCTAACTTAAGGGTCTTCCCTTCTAAGTTAGGGACTTCCTTTGTCTTGAAACTTTTACGGTTTTCCTTCATCACTATGTTTTGCAAATTTAACTACAAAATGTCTTGGTGTTGGCCTGCTTTTGTTGATTTTGATGAGAGTTCTCTGTGCCTTCAGGATTTGGATATCTGTTTATTCCCCCAGGTTAGAGAAGTTTCCAGCTGTTATTTCCTCAAATAAACTTTTGACCCCTTTTCTCTCCCTTCTTCTTCTGAGACTCTTATGATATAAATGCTACCATGTTTGATGGAGTCACTGAGTTCCCTAAGTCCACTCTCTTGTGATCCGTTGCTCTTTCTTTTTGTTCAGCTTAATTATTTTCCATAATTCTGCCTTCTATTTCACTTATTTGTTCTTCTGCTTCTTCCATTCTTTCATCATTACATCTGGTTGCTTTCAAATCTCAAATACTGCATTTTTCTTTTCTGCCTGATTGTTTTTTAATTCTGTCATTTCTGTTATATTTCCTGATCCTGTTAGTAATGGCTTTATGAAGAAGAGGTCATCTATTGTCCATGGCCTAGTGCTTCAGGAAGTGCCTCTGGTGTGTGCTGCCTGCAGTCTGCTGCTGTGTTTTATCTGTTCTTTCTCTCACGTCAGTCCTCTGCAGAGGCTCTCCTTGTCTGTGGTGGACGGTGTCAGGACCTTGGCTGGAGTGTGGCGAGTTTTAAGTAGGTGTGTTCTGGTCTGCTTGCTAAATGAGACCTGATGCTGTTTCCACTAGAGTTGAAGCTTTGCAGAACTCTGTGGTTAGTAGTGGTGTGTGTGGGGATTTGTGCTGGTCTTCTGGGAGAGGGGCCCTCTGTGCTGGTCATTAGCCACACTTGCCTGAGAAAAGCAACACCAGCAGAGGGTGGCAGAGTGGGATGTGGTGTAAGCAGGTTAGGCAGCCAGTATTGGCACTGGGCAGAGTACTGACATTGATTTCTGCTGAGGGGCAGGTGAACTGACTCGAGCAAACTCTTTTTGTCTCTGGAGAGGGGAGTCCAGGCCTGCTGCTCTCAGGGAAGCCCTCTCAGAAAAATGAATAATTTTCCCTTGTGTGTCCTAGGTGTTTTTGAGATCTGTGTGTCTCTGGGTTGCTTGCCTGCGTGGAGCAGTGCTATGCACTTTGGGCTCTATTGTAGCCAAGCCTGCTTGCTTTTAAGATTGATACTGATTGATTGATTGATTGATTGATTGATTGTGTGCCTGTTAGCAGTGGGAGGGGCGGAGGGAGAGAGGCAGAGAATCTTAAGCAGACTCTCGTTGAGTGTGAACCTGATGCAAGGCTCAATCTCAGGACCTGGAAATCATGACCTGAACAGAAATCACGAGTAGGATGCCTAACCAAATCAGCTCTCCACGTGTCCCCAGGCCTGCTTACTTTTAAAACTTCAGACTTTAGGGACTTGGTGTGGCAGGGACCTGTGCTGGTCTTTTGGGTAAGGGTCTTACTGTGCTGGGACCCATTCAGGCTTGACCCAGAAGAACAGTGGTGCCATGTGCGGGGATGTGGTATATGGAGCAAAGTAGGCTAACCAGCCAGTGTACAGTGTCGGTTAGCCGCCCTCAGCAGGTGCCTCTGTACTTATGCTAAGGGGTAAGGGAGTGAAATGGTGACCTTGGGCTCCTTTGTTTCCAGAGAGGCGCAATGCTGTCACAGGTAAGATCCAAGGAGAGTGAACGGTCTCCCCTATGAGCCCTAGTGATCCTCAGATTGTGCTGTCTTCTCAGGGGTTGCTTGTTTGCCTTCTCTCCAGCTGGAGGGCAGCACCCTAAGGTCTCTGTCCCAGCCAAGGCCAAAGACCTCCAAAACTCCAGTCTTTGAGCCCTGCTGATCGCAAAACCTCACAATAATCAGCCCCTCACATTTTCCCAGGGAGTGGCTTTGGGGAAGTGTTCTTGTGCTTATCCCTGTGCTTTCTGCTCTCTCACCTTTCTGTGACCCGGGCTCTCTTCCCTATCCAGAACCCTCATTCCTTTTCTCCTCGCAAACTGCTTCTTTGTACTTCCTACTTTCCTTGATGTGGCCTTTTCTCTCTCTCTAGTTGTGCAGTTTATTATTTCAGTCCTCAGGTCAATTTCTTGGGTATTCAGAATGATTTGATGATCACAGTGAACATTCAAATACTCTACCTAGGTTCAGTAGTTGTTAACATTTTATATTTACTTTGTTTTTCTCTTATTGTTAAATATATTATTTTTGCAGTATCATTTGAGAGTTTGATGTAGACATCATGACATTTTAGCTCCGGATACCTTGGCATGCATCTCTAAGAATAAGGACAGCCTCTTTCATAACCACAATATCAGTATCATACTTAAGAAAATTAATACTATTGTTATAATCTCTTATATCTAATTCATATTTAAATTTTTCCAGTTGTTCCAAAAATGTCTTTTATACGTGCTTTATATTGAATCAAGAACCAGTTAAGGTTTACTCATTGCATTCGGTTGTTATGTCGTTTTCTTTTTATGTAGAAAAGTTTGCCCACTTTTTTTTCCCCTTTGTACTTCACTTTTTGAATAGTGTGCCCAATCAATTTGTAGAATGTCTCTCATCTCAGATTTGCCAGATTATTTTCTTGTGATGTAATTTAACTTGTTCCTTATCTTGTATCTTTTCTGCAAATTGAAAATAGCTACCAGGGCTTGATATGATTCAAGTTAAACATTTCTGGAAAGAATATTGCATAGGTCATATTATGAATTTTATATTGCATAACGTTAGAAACACATAATGTCAAGTTATATCACTATTAATGCTACCACATTTGGTCACTTGTCTAAGCTGATGATCTCCAGATATTTTCACTGGAAAGGAACTTTTTTTTTTTTCTCTTTATAATTAGAAAGTAATCTTGGGATGATACTTTGGTATCATACGAGTATCCTATTTTCTAGCACTATCATAGCATTTAGCCTCGTGACTTTAGCATTCATTGAGGACATTTGCCTAAAAGCAGTTATTACTTTGGTGTTGTAATATACCTATTTTCAAATTTTACCATTTCTTCTACATTTATTAGTTGGCATTCTTCTGTAATTGATTGTTTTTAGTTTACTGTGTTATAATTGGTCATTATTTTTTTTGATGCTCGGTTTCCCAAATTTGGCCGGTGGCTGACCATTTGACCAGGTTCCTTGGTCCTTTTGATATGACAGTATTCTTAAAAAATGGCTGTATATTACTGTAGTGGTATAGATGCATCCTATTAATCAGTCATTTCCCCATTATGGATGTTCATTTAGTTTCCGATATTTTTGCCATTTAAGCTGTTAAAATATACGTTCTTGTACATATATTCTCTTTCTTTCTTACTTTTGAAAGGGTGGGGAAGAGGAAGAGGAGGTGGGGGAAGGGCAGAGGGAGAGAGAATCTTAAGAAGACCATGCCAACAGGGAGCCCTATGTGGGGCTTGATCTCACAATCCTGAGATCATGACCTGAGCTGAAATCAAGAGTCAGACGCTTAACTGACTGAGCCACCCAGGCGCCCCTCTTGTACCTATATTCTTATATACTGCTGTAGACTTTCTTAAGCACCTTTGTGAAATTTCTGTATTTATTTTACTTTATTCTAATCAAACTTCATATAGTTATTCCTAGTGCTATATGCTAATATAGAGGCTCCTCCTATAACTAGGAATCCCATTCTTCTACCTGTGCTCAACCACAAGACATTGTCATGACACCCTTATTTCCTTCAGAGCACCTGTCATTCTCTGACTTATTTTTTTTACTTATTAGTTTACTTACTTTCTTCTAACAAAGGATATAAGCTCTCTGGTAGTAAGAACTTGTCTTTCTTTTTACTGCTTATATCCAGGACTTAGTGCTTAGAAATGGTGTATGATAGGCATTCGGTAAATATTTGCTGAATGATTGATTGAATGAATGAACCATTCATGTAGGAAATTTAAAATGGGTAGCCATCCTAAATTTTCCATGAGCCTCAGTTTTGAAGTTTTTGCCTGTTAATATACTTTTTACTGCTAATTTTTAAGAAGAATATCCTATACCTTAGACTTTTTTTGCTTACTAGAAAACTGTCCAGATTTGTTCTTGGACTCATAAACAGACTTTTTCTTCTTTTGGGTGTTTTCCTGAAGTAAAAGAATTGTAACATTTGAAAAATAAGGGTTTATAGAAACATTACTGGTCCTTTTTGAAAGCACATTTTTTTTTCTGAAATAAATTAAGAACTTTCTATTTGATATCACATACATACAAATCCTTTTTTGAGTTTTATTAGTAGAATTTTGATATAAATTACTTGGGTTATCTTTTAGACTGTAGAAATATTCTCAGTACTCTTGGGAATAATTATTAAGGAACATAATACTTCTTTGGAGAGATACAATTTATTTTTAAGTAATAGAATAGATCTTGAATCTGAGGATCTGAAATAACTTTGTTAGATATATAGGGCTTTTACAAATTATTTTTCTCTCTGTTACAGTGTTTATTTTATAGACCTATTTATATCATATTGATTTCTTAAATTTCTAAATGATTTGTATATTCATAGATTTAAAAAATTGCATGATGTTTGATATTATTACCACTTTATGTTTCAGAATGTGCCCACTTACTTTTGGCTCACAATGCTCCAGTAAAGGTGAAAAATGCTCAGGGATGGAGCCCACTGGCGGAAGCCATCAGCTATGGAGATAGACAGATGAGTAAGCAATATAAATTGTTGTTTATAAATATTCTAAAAATATGAAGTGATACATTTGATAAAATTTTCATTTAGTATAACTTTCTATAATATGAAATGTTTGTAGTTATTTGTAAACTTGTATGTGAATTATTCATAACTTAGGAACTTGGATATTAGGTAGTACACAAAAAGAATTGAGGAATCATGTTTGAAAGCATATTGTTTATAGTTTATTTTCTTTTATACTATTCTGCTCTGCTGATATTTTTCTATTGTTTTATATATTCAGTATGAAGGATTTTTAAAAGCTCTGAGACCTGACTATCCTTTCTGGCAGATACTTTATTATATGAAACATTAATTGGAACTGAAAATAATCACAGTGTTTTATAATAGTTATCTTTTTGCTTTAATTGGTGGGAATAGATTTTACTGAAAGTGAGAAGGAAGTCTCTTTGTTTTAGTCTTTGAGAATTTAAAAAAAAAGTCACGTTTTCTCATAGTACACACTGTGTTCAGTTACTCTACCTTCCCTCTTCCTGTTCCTGAGTTGGGTTTTTTTTTTCCCCAACTTCATATACTTTATTTTTGTCAAGCATATCTCAATAGTTGAAAAGTTTGTAAAATTTAAATCTGGATGAGTGATAATATTATCTTCCTGGTAATATCTTTTTACAACTGGGATTGAAAATTAAATCTAGGCTGTGGAAGGCACGATTTAAAAAATTGGGCAGTTTTATTAAAGAAGTGCATTAGATTGAACACCCTTAGGATGTTACATGCATTTAGTTCTATTTGATACCACAGTTTGGGCTCTTATATTTTAGCTTTATATGTAATCCACATACTACATCTTTGTGGACTTTCTGCACATTTTGGGCAGCTCCTAATGATGAAGTGAAATTTGGGCTTGGGATTTAATGAGATAAAATTGTGATTATTTACCAGTTACATGAGCATATATATTTATATTTTGTTGTTTATTGACAGTTCTCCCTTTTGGACAAAATCAAGAGCTCCTAATGAGAGAAACCATACTAATCCTAGAATTATGTCAGGGAAAAGACAAAAAAATGCACAGATCTAAAAAACTGAGAATAAATTAAAAGTTGCAGCAACCAGTCTAAAGGAACTTTCTCTGATGTTTCTAACCCATTAGCAGAATGGAGAGGAAACCAGATGGATTCCTGGGTTTCCGACACTGACTTATGTGATTTTCACATAATAACCTTTATTTAGAGTCAGTGAGTATTTACTGAGTCCTTTCTATAAAGCATGTATATATAGTAAGATGTGGAGAATGAAGATATGGTCTCTGCTCTTTAGGAAGGCCAAGAAACAGTTTTCTTGGAAAATCAGTTACTAAATTTTAATGTAAAAGATTGAGGTGCATAGCAGTTGAGATCTGCTTTTAAAGTGATTTTCTTCTGTCAAGTGATGTCTTAGATATACATTCTGAATAGTATTCTATTGCCAATTGTTATATAATTATGTATCTATAATTATTCAGGGATTAAAAAAATTATGTTCCATCACATGAAATGGAAATATTTAACTGCTAACTTAAATAATAATAAATTTAACAACTGTAAGCTATATATTTAGAAATATATGGATAGGGGATCCCTGGGTGGCTCAGCGGTTTAGTGCCTGCCTTGGCCCGGGGTGTGATCCTGGAGTCCCGGGATGGAGGCCCGCATCTGGCTCCTTGCATTGAGCCTGCTTCTCCCTCTGCCTGTGTGTCTCTCTCTCTCTCATTAATAAATAAATAAAATTGTAAAAAAATGAAATATATGGATATATTTATAATAGTATTATTTTTATTTATTTATTTATTTTTTAATAATAGTATTAAATGGGTCTATACTTTGAAATTATTTTAAATACTGTGATTTAAGTTTTTGATTACTTAGCTTGTGTTATGTTAAAATTTTCTGGGCATAGAAAATTCCATTATTTGAAAAATCTGAGATAATATATATTATCTAATTAGCAAAGTATAATCTAATATTATAAATTAATAGCAAAAACTGTAATGCCTTTCTCTTTTTTTTATCTGATTTCTGCTGTTGTTTTTGTGGTACAGAACAGTGAGATAATACTAAACTATTTGTTGCAGACTAGAATTATTTTACTTGGGCTGGGGGGGGGGGCGGGCAGTGAGCAGCACCCGGTTGACTTAGTTGGAAGAGCATGTGACTCTTGATCTCAGGGTTGTGATTTTGAACCCCATGTTGTGTGTAGAGATTACTAAAAGAAAACCAAAAAACAAAAACTTTAAAAAAGAAAATTTCAAGATTATGTTGCTTTTCTGCCTTGTAATAATTACATGGTGAACAGTGATCAGCCTCCAGGTCAGTATCAAAAGAGAGAGATCAGTCTGGGATTTAATTAATTTGATGTTAGATTTATTGAGTTTGAGTTATCTATGGTATGTCCACAGAGCTATTTAACTAAGAAGTGGGAAATAATTATTCTGGAGCACAAAAGGAAGTAGAGGGCAGAAGATACAGATTTAAGTGATTCTCGGAGCAGGAGGGCATAGTTCCAAAGGCTTTAGTTTAGGCACAGCCAACTGAATACTTTAAAAGTACTTTGTATGGGAAAAGAAGGAAAGAGAAAGTTAATAAGCTGTGGTTTATTGTTCTTCATTTGAGTCTTTGTATGAATTCTAATACCATCCACATCCTCTAAACCTAATTTTTAATTTTATTTTTTTAAAGATTTTATGTATTTATTCATGAGAGACTCAGAGAGAGAGGCAGAGACACAGGCAGAGGGAGAAGCAGGCTCCGCACAAGGAGCCCGATGTGGGACTCGATCCCAGGACCCTGGGGACACATCCTGAGCCGAAGGCAGATGCTTAACCACTGAACCACCCAGGTGCCCCGGTTAAAGCAATTTTAATAAATAACCATGGAGTTATAAATGGGGGAATATGACTTTCACGTCTACTTACAATAAAAACTACTGTATGAGGAACCCAACAATGCTCTAGTATATTTGAATAAAATTACCCAATGGTCTTTTTGGTTCAGTTTTTATATTCATTTCTTTCTATGGTCATATTTGTTCTTCAGAAAAATCACTCCAATAGACAACAAAAGATCTATGGATATATATAAAGATTTCTTATCATCGGCTGCTTATAATTCATTTGGGAAGAAAGTTCCTTCATAAAGAAGTTAGTTTCATTTAAAACAAGTAATGTTCAACCACTGAGCCACCCAGGCGTCCCCTCTAAAACTAATTTTATCTTTATTATCAGTCATCATTAATGTGATTCTTACAGTATGGGAGTACAAATCCTTATTCCACAAAAAGGTCTTGCTAATTTTGTATAATTGCATTCTAAATGTTTGTTTCTGTTTCCATAAGAAAGTTTGAGTTGATGCTATTTTTAATGTGAAGTTTCATAGAACAAGAATCTCTTTGTCACCATCTTTTTAAAAATGTTTGGCTAGGGCAGCCTGTGTGGCTCAGCGGTTTAGCGCCGCCTTCAGCCCAGGTCGGATCCTGGAGACCCAGGATCCAGTCCCATGTCGGGCTCCCTGCATGGAGCCTGCTTCTCCCTCTGCCTGTGTCTTTGCCTCTCTGTGTTTCTCATGAATAAATAAATAAAATCTTAAAAAAACAAAACAAAACAAAAATGGCCATTTTAATGTAATTGTTATTTACTGCATGTGGTCAGTTTCAATATATTTACTTGGTGTAAAGTACATGACTTTTTCTCTTTTCATTAAGGTATCTTTTCTATCTATGAATTGAATTATTTCCATTCTTTACCTTGACACAGAGGTTTGTTTGAATTTAAAGGCAAATTGCCTTCTTTGGAGTCAAGGAAGATTTATTAAAGTACTTGAGCTTATTGTGGAGAAGAATATATAAAAAGAATTCTATTAAATTGGCGTAATACAGCTTTGATATTAAGGTTAAATTACAACAAACATGAGATTAGCCAGATTCATACAAATTTGAATCTGGAAATAACCTTAATGATTATCCAGGTCATTGTTTCTCAGATTATTTGGATTTCACAGACCAGAAAAAAAATTATGTTTGAGAATTGATGTGGAGTACCTAATGTTTCATTTTAGCATGTAAAAACTCTAAAAATGATACTTCCTTCTGCAATCACCATATTAATACAAGACATTTTGATACCAAAAATAGTAGAAAGAATAGTTCTTAAATTGAAAAAAATATATAGTTTATAAGTAAAAAAGTAACCCCAACCTGATTTCCAATTTTTTTCATTTTACTGCAGATCACTGGGATCTTGAACAGTTGGGCACTGAAATGTAGACTTGTATTTGGAAACTACTAATCTAGGTCACAAAGCTAGTTGTAGGACTGTATGATGAATTGAGATCCCTTGTTCCTTTGGTAGTTAGTTTTAGCTAGTTCCTTTATTCTAATAGGTAAAAATTATATTTACTTAATTGTAAGCAATTTATATTGAGCCTTTACAGGAATTTCATAGAGGTTTTACTTTATTTTTACTTGACAAATGAAAAAAAGAAACTGAAATTTAGGGAAAATAAGTAACTTGTCCATTTAGATGTGGCTAATAATTAGTAAAGCTGGGGTTTGCACTTAGGCAATGTGTCTAAATCTCAGTCTGAACTATTGAGAAAACAGTATGGAGGGCCTCAGGTTTTTTTAGATTCAGAAGTTCTTTTCACGGACATAATAGGATTTGTTTTAGTATTTTTTCTGCTGTGTGAGAGTACAACCTGTAGTGAGAAAAGAACACATACACCCAGTAGCAATTACAAATAATTACATTTTTATAAAAGTAATATCCAATGGGATTTTTGAGGTCTGTCTTTGAGATCTTTTAGATCAGTATTACAACAGGAGATTGTGTCATCTGAGATTGGTTACTCTTGGCTCACTCAGGTAAATCTTAACTGATAATTAAAAACTAGGAAAACTAGTGTAAATACAAGTTCATGTTGGGGTGTCTCTTCTCGATTTTCCTTGGGGTTCATAACAGTTTTATTAAACTTATTAACTTATTTATAATGTCTCTATCTGTATATGTCTGTGTATAATAAACCAGTGGTTTCTAATATGGCAAAAAAATTTTTTGTATAAATTTTTTTAAATTGAGCTATAACTGACAATCTAACATGGTAAAATTTATTTTAAATTAAATAATTTTTTTTGATTTAAACCTTAGTTACGGCTCTTTTAAGGAAGCTTAAGCAGCAGTCCAGGGAAAGTGTTGAAGAAAAACGACCTCGATTATTAAAAGCCCTGAAAGAGGTAGGCTATATATCTCTTTGCTCATCTTATACCCCAAGAGTAATTGTAAGTGTACTTTTAAGCATTTTTAAAATGCAGTCTAATCACTTGATTACTAAGAGTCAAGCAACGGTAAAAATCCTGTTTGAATTGAACAATAATGATAAAATACTCTGATTGTAATGTATAAATTTAATGCTATGGAAGCACCATTTACTTTGGACTAGGATGGTGGATAAAAAAATTACTGTTTTCAATAAATTAGATAAGATCTCTAAGAAAAAAAGGAGGCTAATCATAATTAATGGCAATAGTTTTCATTTGTCCTTTAGGTTGGAAGATTCCCTAAGAGCTGAAACCACTACCTACTAGTAGCATTTTCTTTACATAATAAAACTCTTTCTGTCTGTCCTATGTCAGAGCCGGTGGTAAGAGACGGTGTGCTGGCACAGAAAGGAAGAGAGCTTTATTTTTTTTCTTATTCTCATCCACTGTATTTTTGATGTATGAAAGAACTAAGGGAGGAAGACAGACCTATCATGATAACTGTGTGTCCTCTGGGGTATGCTTTTTTTGTTTTTATCTCAAGAGATAAATTTTTTTGAAAATTTTTGATCACAGTAGTTTCCTTAACAGTTACAGTTTTTGCTGTCTAGCTTCTAATTTGTGAAATACAAACTTTCACCATATATCTCATATGATGACATGTTATTTCAGATTTAGTAAACTTGTGTTAATTACCACTTTATAGGAAAAAGTTTCTATTTCATTGTGTCATTTTCTTAGTCCATTGTGAGGCTGCACAAAAAGTCATTTTGGAACACATCTAAAGTTATTAGCTATTTTTAGTTATAGTTATTATTATTGTTTTGGTTATGCTGAGAAATGGACTATTTATTGATACCAACTTAAATGCCTGTCAGTTTCAGATATGTTCCAGTAAAATCTGCAGTTGTATATCTTCCTTTGTAGATAAGTATAACAATGTGCTATTGTAATGTTTTAAGTAATTTAACCTTATTTTTTCTTTCTCCTATTCCAAAAATTGAAACTACTTTCTAGTTCTGTCTATAGACCTTTAGTGATAATAGATTTTTTTTAAAAAACTAAAATATTCAGTTGATATGAGAACTGTTAAACTAAGGTACATTCAGTAATTATTTGTATTTTGTTTCTCAGCTAGGTGACTTTTATCTGGAACTTCACTGGGATTTTCAAAGCTGGGGTAAGAAGGTGTCATATTTTACTGTAAAATATGTTCCAATGTGGAAATGCAAGTGCAAAAATAGCTATTAAATATACATGTTAGCAAATTTGAACTTGTCCTAAGGAAAATTACATCTTTTTCATCACATTGAATGTAATGGTAATAAAGCCCTGTAGTAATACTTAATTATCCCAACCTGATTAGTAAGTTTCAAAAGTCTTATTTTCAAGACTGAAAATTATTCTTTTAAAACATAATGAAGATTTAAGTATTTTAATAAATATAAAGAATTCTCAAAGGGAAGAGAATAATTTATGGGATTATTAGATTACTAATTTTTTTTAAGATTTTATTTTATTTATTCATGAGACACAGAGAGAGATTACTAAATTTAATGAGATTTGAAATATAGTACTTAGATCCCTGAATGAGAAGAATTCAGTTAACATTATTTGATTTTATATATTTTGTCATCTTTCAGTCATTTTGCCACTTTTATTGTATACTCCATATACATACTGTTTGGTTGTTCACTGTTTCAATTATTTATAAAACCTTAACCCCTAGATATTTTAGAGTCATTTAATGATTTATCTTGGCATGATAAGTTTCTCTCCTCCCTATTTTAAACCTCAGTCCATTTAGGGAGAAAACCTTTGTATCTAAAGAGGAAGTGTGATCCTAGTGACTTGTTAATTAAACAACTACTAAAACAACTAAATTTGGGTTTCATTTTGAAGATTTAAAAACAATGTAATCTGTGTATAGGTTTGGACATAATGAGCTTATATTTTTTTAAAGCATCTGAATTAATTTCTATGAAATAAAGATATTTGAATATTCAGTTATTGACAGCTATAAAAATCACTGTTAATGTTTCATATGAATGCTTTCAAACCCTTTTTAAAGTTTACATGAGTGTATGTGTGCATGTAATACACACAAATACATACATGCACATATATATTGTATCCTCAGAATTAGTTGTTTTAATGGGATCTTGCCATTATATCGTTATACAGTTTGTCACTTTTATATAATGTATCATAGGCATCTTTCCATATTGTTAGCTCATGAGGAAGTACTTCAACAACTACATAATAATGTATAGCATGAATGATTAAGATTTTCCTAGTGTGTTTAATCTCTAAGTGTAAAGTTTTGATTTCTAAAGGTCAGTTCTTTTCCAATATTGTTACAACACTAGCTCATTAGGTTAATTTTGGCTCCATCAAAATCACACATGATTTTGTGACTCGGTAGGGCTACCTTGCCTTTATGCTTTATATATCATTCAGAGTCCAGGTGTCTTAGAACACTGAGAGAAAAAGAGGTTTGTAGTAGCTTTGTAAAATAGAAGAATTCCAAGTCAGACTGGTTTAAAGCCTGAATACCATTTTTTTTTTTTCATGTGTAAAAACCCTAGGTCGGCTTGGCAATCTTTTTTTTTTTTTTAAAGATTTTATTTATTCATTCATGAGAGACACACACAGAGAAAAAGGCAGAGAGAGAAGCAGGCTCCATGCAGGGAGCCCCATGTGGGACTTGATCCCGGAACTCCAGGATCACACTCCGGGCGGAAGGCAGGCACCAAACCGCTGAGCCAACCAGAGATCCCCTGCTTGGCAATCCTATACTCAAGGTTGTTCCTTGAGCATATTGGTTCTTTAACTGATTCTCAAGAAATTGTTAGTGGTTTAAATTCTAAAATAGTTGATTTATCTTGCTGAGCAAATGTTTTAAAATATTTTAAAAGTAACATTTCAGTTACATAAAGAAGTAGAAATGAATGTAATCACTACTATAATTGTACATATATCTGTAGTTATAAACAGTATAAATGTTGCATAATCAAATTCATGACATAACCATTGTGGTATTGGTTAAAAGTATTGCTTTTTGGAGATTTGACTTTGGTGCAAAACAGCACATCTGTTTCATTGTTGATAAAGGATTTTTCTGATTTCATGTCAAAACTACTAGCACCTGATGGTTAGATGTCATGTATGATTTTAAAAACGAAACTAATTGGCTAGATTTAATTTAGACCCTTTGGATTAAAACAAAGCAGCACAATCCCTTTTGTTAGATTTGATTAGTAAGCTTTTTTTCTAGAGTTTAGGTGTGTTTCTTTCCATTGTCAAAACCCCTAATATTGGGGCACCTGGCTGGCTCAGTTGGTAGAAAATGTGACTCTTGATCTCAGCATTGTGAGTTCAAGCCCTATGTTGGGCATAGAGTCTACTTAAAAAACAAATGAAGGGGATCCCTGGGTGGCGCAGCGGTTTGGCGCCTGCCTTTGGCCCAGGGCGCAATCCTGGAGACCCGGGATCGAATCCCACATTGGGCTCCCGGTGCATGGAGCCTGCTTCTCCCTCTGCCTATGTCTTTGCTTCTTTCTCTCTCTCTGTGTGTGACTATCATAAATAAATAAAAAATAAAACAATTAAAAAAAAAAAACAAATGAAGAAGGAAGAACTTATAAATTCCCTTTGCAAACATAAAATGCTAACTAAACATGACTTTTTTTTTTTTTTTTTTTTTTGCTTAAAAAGAAACCCCTAATATTGAGGGGGAAAAAGGCAACCCAGAAATAAGGGGAAGTTAAGAAATAGTGAGATCCAGAATTAGGTTTAATTAGAGGTAGTGGAGGATGCACACTCTTTCTCATATTGTTATGTTTAGTGTTTGGCTGAAAGCCTCAAACTTGGTTAATAGCAAGTCTGAAGGCAACTAAAACTATTCCAGCTTAGGTTTTTAGATAAAGAGAAGCTTTAAATTGGGATCAGAAGTAATGGCTACTATTTGATGTGAGAAATCACTTATCTTTCCTCAGCCTCAGTGTCATTTTTTTTTTTTAAGATTTTATTTATTTATTCATGGGAGACACACAGAGAGAGGCAGAGACATAGGCAGAGGGAGAAGCAGGTATGGGATTCGATCCTGGTACTCCAGGTCATGCCCTGGACCAAAGGCAGGCGTGCTTAACCGCTGAGCCACCCAGCTGTCCCCGGTGTCTTCATTTTTATTTTTTATTTTTTTATTTTTTAAAAATATTTATTTATTTATTTATTCAGAGAGAGCGAAAGAGAGGCAGAGACACAGGCAGAGAGAAGCAGGCTCCATGAAGGGAGCCCGACGTGGGACTCGATCTCGGGTCTCCAGGATCACGCCCCGGGCTGCACGCGGCGCTAAACCGCTGCGCCACCGGGGTTGTCCCTGGTGTCTTCATTTTTAAAGGTTTTTTTTTTTTTTTTTTTAAATTTATTTATTCATAGAGACACAGCTAGAGAGAGAGGCAGAGACACAGGCAGAGGGAGAAGCAGGCTCCATGCAGGGAGCCCAACGTGGGACTCGATCCTGGGTCTCAAGGATCACCCCTTGGCTGCAGGCGGCGCTAAACCGCTGTGCCACCGGGGCTGCCCTGTCTTCATTTTTAAATGGGGATAAGAACTGCCCTAGATATTGCAAACTTTTTTTTTTTTGGTGTGGATAAAATTATGTTTTTGAAGGAAACCCTTTATATACTTACTGTAAAAGCATGAAATAATTTATAGTATAATAATCATGACTTCAAATTTAGCTTTGTGTATATGACACATTTCAACAGAAAAACTGTTTTTAGAGTTTCTTTACCTCATAATCTACAGAATATCCATTCTGTATTTGAGACTGTGTATTATAGATGGAAAACATTAGGTTAATAAACTGTTCTTGATATCAAGGAGTAAATAACAGCAAAACTAAGATTAAAACGTAGAGATTTCTTTTTTTCAGCTCAGTGAATTATGCTACTTTTGGAGTGTTGTGTTAAGCTCTCAGATTATGCTGAGATAACCTTAGATATAGAGAACTTGATCAGTTTACATGAGGGAGAATAAAGTCATCGCAGAATTGGGAAAATGCACATTGCTCTAATTTTGGAATGCATTAAAATCTAGCAGAAATCTTTTTTTTTATATATTCTCTCTTTCCTTTTTATTAGCTTTTGCTTCTCAGTCCCTAAACTTATTTTCTCTCTGCATTTCTTTGTTCCTGCGCTTCTGATTTTTGATAAATAAGTATTGATATATAACTCTAAATTTTGTTATAGTAGGTTACCATGCTATTTCAAAAGATGCAATAAATTAAGTTAAATTATCTTAAATTAGAGTGCAATATTTTAATGATCTTTTTCATGCTCTACTAAATACTTAAGGATAGGAAAACTGGATCTTGATTAGACAGCATAGAGAAGAGCTTTGATCATGTATATAGATAAATGCTGTTACTGTTGTTTTCAAGTTCTGTTGTTTCATATAAGAAAAAATTTTATCAGAAAATGATTACTGAGCCATCAGAAAGACAGAGATCTTGCCATTTGCAGTGATGTGGATGGAACTAGAGGGTATTATGCTAAGTGAAACAAGTAAGTTAGAGAAAGATAGATGCTTTCACTCATATGTGAAATTTAAGAAACAAAACCGATGAACATAGGGGAAGGGAAGGAAAAATAAAATGAGATGAAAATTGAGAGGGAGGCAAATCATAAGAGATGCTGAACTCTAGGAAACAAATTGAGGGTTGCTGGAGGGCAGGTTGGTGGGAGGAAGGGATGACCAGGTGATGGGCATTAAGGAGGGCAGTTGATATAATGAGTAATAAGTGTTATATAAGACTGATAAATCACCAAATTCTACCTCTGAAACTAATAAAAAAAAGAATGATTTCTTATATTTTCTGACTAGGGTAACTGTAGATATTCCCTTTGGGCAGTAACTTTTCTTATTTGTGTACAATAAAATGTCTAGAAAACTGTCTTTAATGCCAGAAATCATTTTAGATTACATGACCTCTAGGAATTTAAAAAGGACACTGATATATTAATATATATAATTATATATATTAATTATATATATAATTGGATAATTAGACAATATTGATGTTTTTTAAAAAATTAGCTAAAGGGCAGCCCGGTGGCTCAGCAGTTTAGCGCCGCCTTCAGTCCAGGGCAGGATTCTGGAGACCCGGGATCCAGTCCCACGTTGGGCTCCCAGCATGGAGCCTACTTCTACCTCTGCCTGTGTCTCTGCCTCTCTCTCTCTCTCTGTCTCTCATGAATAAATAAATAAAATCTTTAAAAAAATGAAAAAAAAAATGAAATAAAAAGTTAACTAAAAAACTAGCCTTCAATTTCTATAATAAAGTTTTTACTTCTTTCTAACCGAGGTTGATTATTATTCATTTTTAAAACACTGAGTTTTGTAAAATATGCACGTAGTATATCTTATACACACACACATTCTTATATACACATGTACATGTGATGTGATTTTGATTTCAAGTTGTTTGGGCTTCACATTATTTCTTTTGTATGTGGTAGCTTATTATATCCTGTATGCAGATTTATTCATCCATAGAATAACCTGTATTTCCTAAAACATAGCAGACAGTAAATAATAAAAGAAATCAGAATATGCTTCTTATATGAATGTGAACAATACTGAATGTAGAAATCTGTAGGTGAATAGTATGATTCTGTTTTACAGATTTTGAAACTGAGGTTACACAGTGAGCTTCAGTAACTGAGGTCACATATTTGGAATTCAAACTCAAATTTGACTACTTAGCTCTAAATTTTTTTTTTTAAATACACATTACTTTCCTACTATTTAATGAGATTATATTTAAAGGATCAGATAGGATCCAGGTTCATCAGATTACCCATTCAGGGTAGTTTAGTTGCTGTGGGGTATGGTTTTTGCATCTATAATAATGTTCTACAGTGTGTATCCAAGAGTGGCACTGTATTGACTGCTATTCATGTGTGTTTGTGGGAGGATGTGAGTGTTAAACTTTGTAGCAATTACAGTTAAATAGTGGGGATTTGAAGTTGCTCGGAATTGCTTTATGTGGGATCCCTGGGTGGCGCAGCGGTTTAGCACCTGCCTCTGGCCCAGGGCGCCATCCTGGAGACCCGGGATCGAATCCCACGTCGGGCTCCCGGTGCATGGAGCCTGCTTCTCCCTCTGCCTATGTCTCTGCCTCTCTCTCTCTCTGTGTGACTATCATAAATAAATTAAAAAAAAAAAGAACTGTTTGTGTCAATTGGCCATTTAAAAAAAAGAAAAAAAAAAGGAATTGCTTTATGTATTATTTTTAAGTGGAAAAATACTATTTTAAAGGAAATTATTACAATTTTAGTGGATTACTAAAATGTTGAAATTACTCTTTTTCTAATTAAGAAATTTGTAATGTTTCAGAACTTTAGGTATTTTTTATCTTTTCTTTTTAAAAACACAGTGCCTTTACTTTCCCGAATTCTGCCTTCTGATGCATGTAAAATATACAAACAAGGTATCAATATCAGGTAAGGTGACTTGATTTTTTTCTTTCTGAGTAACAGAAAATTGAGATTTAGAGGAAGCTTTTCTTTCTGTATTAATAGGTTGCATTTGGATGTAGTATTTTATAACTTAAACATGTTGTAATATATGCATAACATTTTATCTTGAGACATCCTGCAGAGAAGAAACCAAAGATATAAAATCTTGACTAAATCAAAGGTATTCTTATTCAACTGCTGACTATCTAGGAGGCAATCAGAGTGAAGATCACAGGATCTTAAAATGAGAAGATTTAAGATGGTTATCTCTGATCCTGACTATTTGGGGAATAGGGACACACATAAGGAAGACCCAACTCTTGTCCTTTTTTCTCCATCCCTCTCATACCCTCCCTCCTCTGTCCATCTGTCTAATCATCTGTTCCTTCTAGTGCACACTTTAAGGCTAATTTTAATTTTCTTCTTTTTCTTTTTAAAATTAAGATTGATTTTTGGATCTGATGGGTAATTATTTTACTCAGTTTAGAGTTTTATTTTTATCATTCTTTGTATCTTAAACTTTGTATTAATACAGGTATATTTATAAATTATACATATGTAAGATGTGTATAATACTAGTGAACTGCCAACTTATGTTTATGTATCCGTATATTAGTGTATTTATAGATTATATAAAAAATTTTGTAAATCTATAGCTCTACATATATCTCCAGAATATTAATTTGGACATGTAAGGACCTAGAACTAGAAATATATTGAGATAATATCATAAAAACTCTTCATTTGACAAATGAGAAAATGTAGAGAGGTGAAGTGATTTTTATAAGTGCATATTGTGAATTAATAGCTGAGCCAGGACCTCTGATTTCCTGTCCATTCCTACCATGTCACAAGGCAGAAATTTTAGAAAGTCAACTCTGAGATTTATTCTGAGATATGTTGAATTATAGTGAAGAGATAATCTTTAGTTCAAGGTTAGTTCTAGGGAAATTGTTCTCAAGCAGTAGAATTTGATTAAAGTAGAAGTTTCTGGTTTTTGTTTTTAAAAAATAACCTTCAGATGTTTCTAATTATGGAAGTGCATATGTACATTAAATTCATGATCATTATAGAAACCTTGCAAAATACAGAAAAATATAAAAGAAAAACTAGGAAGAGTTTTGATAATGATAAGATTTATTTCAGTAGCCTATTAACATTATATTATGATTTCATCATAAATTATACATCAATGTAAAAATGTTTACTATAAGGTGCTTGCAAAGGTGTTAGATAATTTGGGAGTGTAGTAGTATTTTCCATATGCTACTTTAAAAAAAGGTTAGTTTTAGTTGTGTTTGATTCTTAGATTTAGGAAAAAAGTTTCTTTTAAAAAATTATTTCACATTTATATATGACTTGAAAGTAAGTGATATGATGCATATTACATAATAAGTGTAAATAATAAAACCACAAAATGGTTAAAATAGAGACATGAGAATAAAAGCCTGAGGGAGAATAATTGTGTCAGAGAATATAGATTAAAGAGAAACTACTATAATTTAGGAAGACACTCAGCACTGGGGCTTACATAAAGCAGCTGAGGATAAAGGAGAAATGTGATAGGTTCTAAAGCTCTCATTACCAAAGTTTACTAGATTAATGGAGAGGCTGGGTTTTAGGATGGACAAAGGTTTTTCATGGATGAGAAGAATATAATGAAAAAAAATCCAATACATTAAATAACTTTCAAATGTAAACATCATGAGACAGTTTTTTAAAAAAATTACTACAAATGAAACTGAATTTTAAAATTATGTTCAAAGAAATCTTTAAAGTTTACTTATATTTCATGACAGACATGATCATTTAAAATATTTTTTCTGGTGTCAAGGAGAAATTAATACTTCGGTGGAAATAGGAAAGTGTAAGTAACTTTATTGTTGCGAATGTTAGTAAATGTTTTCACTATTAATAATTATGAGGTTATAGATTACCTATATTTGAGGTTATAGATACCTATATAGATTTCACTGACTGAAATGATCAGGGCAAACTTTGCCTCATTGCAGGCTTTTTCTGTCTTAAGGGAAGGCTCTATATTCTTTTTCAGTGTTACTTGGCAGTTTTCAAGCTTTTATGTCAAAAAGAACACTTTCTGTTTTTTCTATTTTTTTGAACATTTTCTATTCAAATCTTTGCAGTTATATAATTTTTTTCATGGCTAATTACATGGTAAGAATTACAAAAAATATATTTAGACTCAAAGGCTTAAAGCGAGGACTAGTTAGTTAATACATTAAAGTACCATCATGATAAATTGTATCATTATAAGGCATGTAATACAACTTCCTAGGCCATCCAATATGTCAGGGATATTGCAGAAGATGTTTTGGACAGCCTTTCAGTTGAAATTTACAAAAACACTAATGAAATAAAAATTGACAATGAGTAATATTCGGTGTGGCTAGATCAAAAGGCTCAAATGTCACAATGTCAGTGTGTCTTTGTCTTTCTGTCTCTGTCTCTCTGTGCATCTCTTTCCTCACTATTCTTACCTGCCAACCCCTACCAGTCTCATCCGGGATAGGCAAGAAGGAAATGGGAGGCAGGAGATTACTCTGTTTCTTTCCCTTTTTTTATGTGGGGAAGTGGAGTACCCTGGTAGCTGAAGCTCGAAGTCCAAATAGACCACTTATAGAAAATGATCTATTCCTTTTTGATATTTTCAGTAGCCTACATCTTACAGAGGTAGGGGATAAGGCTCTGTTACTGGCATTATTTTCTCTTATGCCACATGTACAAGGGGTAACAGGACATATTTGGTAGTATAGGCACTACTACAGTAGCTGGCCCCCTGGAAGTGGACCAGGAGCTAGAATTCAGCTGTAAAGCAGCAGGCAATTCACCCCATGGGAATTGTTGACTTGCTTTTTTTAGGGCTTTTTGATTTCATTCTTTGAGAGTGTATACATTTTGTATAGCTCAGGAAGGAGGCTCTTGTACATAAGGTAACCATACTTCCCTATTTGCTCTTGGTTTATCCCTGTTGTCCTCGCAAAATTATTAATAGTATCACCTTCACTTTTAAAAGGTACTAGTTGTGTTGATAAATTATATGTAACCCAAGTTACTCTTTTGATGCAGCCTAGAAGATACGTTCCAGTTCTCAGATTTTTCTGTGTAGGGAAATGAAGAATGCTCATTCCCTTTGCCTAGTCTGGGATGAGAATTGAATAACTTATGAAGTAATGAATTCTTGAAAGCCCAGTAGGTGTGATCAGCATCTCTTAACAGCTGTGTCAACCCATTTTTTAGATTAAGGGTGGTGTTTTGAGCAGCCAGTAAGTGAGATCCTAATGTGGTCTCCTACAAAGCCTGGTGTAAGATTGAAGCACTTCAGGGTGCTTGTAATAAGCTTTTCCATTCTAGTGCTATCCCTCATTTCAGCAAGGTGGTTTGTGGAATTTATTTGAGACCGATCCATTGGGCTGGGCCATGCCAGGCCTTGGTTACCAAAGAGTATGATAAACACACAAGGACTGTTCCATAAGGTTTTTAGGCTGTGGAGATGATGGGAAAGAGAATGCTAATCCGAATCTGGGAAGTCAAACAGAAAGGACAAGAATTTGGAGTAAGTTAAATGATTTATGTAGTTGAGGGATGAAGCAAGGTTTGGTATCAGATGGTTAGGCATAGGCACAGATGTAGATCAAAAGAGCAAGACTGGACACACAGCCCTTAATCTAAGAATGTGGTCCATCCTTGCTGCTGTACCCTCCTTAGGTACTCTGCTCAGCTAGCAGCACGGTCTTATTGGGATCAAAGAATGTTAGACAAGTCTTCTTTCCTTTAATGCCCTTCACAGTTGAAGTAACTTCTGTGGAGTAGTTGAAGTAAGGGCAATGGTAGGCAACAAGGTATAGTTAGGGAGATATTTGAACAATGTGGAAACAATCTTTTCCTTGCTGGATTAATAAAGTACATATTCAGAAAATGAAATATAGGAAAAATGGAATGTATATTTAAATATTCTTTCAGTGTTTTTAAATAAGATACTGTAACTTTCATTAGACGTTTGACTTTGAAATATGGTGTTAGCATCTTGGTTTGAGTTTAGAAGCAACAAAGCTTGTTTAATTATTATGGAGTTTTATCAAAATTTCATTTGCCAGGATTTCTCATCTCCCCATCTTTCACAGGCTTGACACTACTCTCATAGACTTTACTGACATGAAGTGCCAACGAGGGGATTTAAGCTTCATTTTCAATGGGGATGCGGCACCCTCTGAATCTTTTGTAGTGTTAGACAATGAACAAAAAGTTTATCAGCGAATACACCATGAGGTGAGCATGTTGTCTTCTCGGTATTTCTCTAAATGTTTTTTTTTTTTTTTTTTTTTTAATGTGTATGTATGCAACCAAGCTTCAGTGTAATTGTTTTTAGAGTCATAAAGTCTAAGTGAGATGGTTCATTCCCGGAGCTTTCATTTCTTTACAACTAGCTTTAAATTTCATTTTAATTTTTTAATTTTTTTATTTTTCTGGTCTTCATCCTGACCATTCCATTGAGACTATTTGCTCATAATTGATGATCTCCAACTTGCTTGACTTCTCCTTTGTAGGAATCATTTGTTGAACCTGTGCTGGCCCTTTGACCATTTATTGTCTTCTACCTTAGCTTCTTTTAATGTTGCTGATCATCTCTTGTCTCCCTAATAGTGGCATCTCTTTTGGCTGTCTGTACTCTTTTTGTACTCTTTTACTGTCCTTAAGTCTTTGGCTATTTTTCTCTGTCTTTTCCCTCTTCCTTCTGTCACGTCTTACCTCCCTGTTGTTATTGCCTCCACAAGCACCACTGAAGAATCATATATACGTTTTCTTTATCCTTTGTTCCCTGAATGTCCCATTCCCTGCTATAAACCAAAGAAAAAGCTTTTTCTGTGCCGCTATGTCATTGATACTTTAGAGATGTTTTTAAGTCAACATTTTATTTTGCCACTGTTGCTTTTTTTTTTTTTTTTTTCATTTTCTTTGTGGTGCCTAAGATGGCAGTGAGCAATGAAGTTTTAGATGGAAGAGAAGATATTCCTTGTGGAGGAAACAGAATGAATAAAGTCAGGAGAGAGGGAATGAGGATGGTCTGTTTCAGAAGCAGAAAAGAGATCTACTTGACCGTGGTAAAGGTTTCTGTTATTGAGCATGGGAATGTGGTTTATAAGAGGCTTTAAAAGCTAGATAAAATAACAGAATCTGCTTTAGTTGGCAACAGAGAGTCATAGATTCTTAAATAAGGTATTAATTTGATCCACAAGTAATTTAGGTGCTTTACAGCTTTTCTCATTAAATCTTTAAAATAATCTGTGAGAGCAAATAGTTTTATTATCTCCATTTTACAGATTAGAAAATTGAGGCTTATAGATATTAAATAACATCTTCAACATCACACAACCAGTATGTTGTGGATGGATTGGAAAAAGGGAGAGATTAGAGGCAGGGAATTTATGGAAAAAGTTTTTACTTTTTACAGTTTTACAGTTGAGAAGTGATAGGGGTGGTGCAATGAATACTTAAAGAAATTATAACTTATATTTCCAAGAATGAAAGACTGTGACTTGCTAGTAGTTTGAGTGTACTAAATTGAGAATTAGAAAGATTTAAAGGTACGACCCAGCAATTGCACTGTTGGGGATTTACCCCAAAGATACAGATGCAATGAAACGCCAGGACACCTGCACCCCGATGTTTCTAGCAACAATGTCCACAATAGCCAAACTGTGGAAGGAGCCTCGGTATCCATCGAAAGATGATGGATAAAGAAGATGTGGTTTATGTATACACTGGGATATTCCTCAGCCATTAGAAACGACAAATACCCACCATTTGCTTCAATGTGGATGGAACTGGAGGGTATTATGCTGAGTGAAATGAGTCAATCGGAGAAGGACAAACATTATATGGTCTCATTCATTTGGGGAATATAAATAATAGTGAAAGGGAATAGAAGGGAAGGGAGAAGAAATGGGTAGGAAATATCAGAAAGGGAGACAGAACATGAAGACTCCTAACTCTGGGAAACAAACTAGGGGTGGTAGAAGGGGAGGAGGGCGGGGCTTGGGGGTGAATGGGTGACGGGCACTGAGGGGGACACTTGACGGGATGAGCACTGGGTGTTATTCTGTATGTTGATAAATTGAACACCAATAAAAAATAAATTCATTATTAAAAAAAGAAAGAAAGAAAGAAAGATTTAAGGGTGAGTGTAGTGCTTCTACCTTGAAGAGTGGAATGATGCGGTGCCAATGGTAGAATTGGAAGTTCTGGATATGGAAATAGGTTTGGGGTTTTAGATGATGTTAATTATGAGTCATTTGCTAAAATCATTCTACTTGCTTCAACCTTCTCTTTATCAGACTTTGAAGTATTTGCTATCGTTGGTGACTCAGTTCTTAAAATTATCATTTCATTAGGATTTGACTTTGATCGATTGTTCTTTTCCCATCTCTTCTTACTGTTCTTTGCCTGTTGCTTTTTCTTTGCCATCTCTTGAATATTGATGTACCCTTAATGTGGTTCTCATTTTTACAAACTGTCAGAATAATCTCTTCCATTCCTACATCTTGAACTACCTGCTATAGGTTGGTGATTCACCAGTATATATTTCTATCCCAGATAGATCTCCGAAGGGAGATCTACCTACTTAAGTTCCTAATGGATATGATATATGTCTCCCAGGTGCCTCAAAATTCAGCTCATCTAAAACTTAATTCTGTTTTTTCTCCTCCAAACTCCAAACCTGCCCTCTCTCCCATTGTCCTTTCTTTGATGGATGACATTAATCTCTATTCAGCCAGAAAACTGTGAGTTATTTTTGAAATATTTTCTTTTATTCCATGTTTCCTAAGTAGAAAATGTGTGTAGTCCTTTCTGTCTTCCTAAGGTCTTATAATTATCTCTTTTTAGTTGTACCATTACTGCCACAATTCAGATTTTCATTCTGTCTCAACTGGTCCATTGTAATAATCTCATAAATGATCATCCTGGTCCCATCTTGTCTTCTTCTAAATTATCCCACTTACTAGAGATAGATTGAATAATGAAAGCAAATTCATGAAAACTACCTTCCTTAAAGATATTTTAAAAGATCCTTTTTCCTAAAGAATAAAATCCAAATTCCTTAATATGGCATGGCACCTTCTTGACCTGGCTTTTGCCTACCTTTCTAGACTCTTTTTACCTTACTATCTTAGGTACCTTCATACTGAGCTCTTTGTGGTTCTTCAGATGTAGCATGCTGTTTAGTGCTTCATTCCTTTGTTCACATTATTTCCACTTCCTGGAGTGCTCTTCTTGCACTTCCACAGTGGTAGGAACCTACTTAGTGTCACTTCCTCCCTTGCCAGGTGACATTGTTTTGTTTATGCTCCTACTAAATCTGGTACCATAGGGCTTCTGATACTATATTCATTGTATGGCTTTCTTCCTCTGCTCCCCGTGGTTCCTTTAGTTGTATTCCCTGGTACCTAATATAGCACATCAGTACATTCTAGGCTAGAGTTTGGCAGACTCTTTCTGTAAAGGGAGAAATAGTAAATATTTTAGATATTTAGATATATTTTTGGGCCAGATGGTCTCTGTCACAGCTACTCAGAGGAACAGAAGAGTTCTGTTCCAAAAGTTTATTTGAAAAGAGGGTTTTTGAAACTTAAGGCAGTTTTCTTCATAGACCATGTTGTATACAGCATTGTTCCCAAGCTAATACATGAACTCCTAATTTATTTACAGTATATTTGAAACATAATATCTAACAGTTCTTTGCAACCTCTGCCAGCCAAAGTTTTTCTTTAGACAATTGTGTTCAGAATCAGTTTGGTTGCTAGGACTACATTTTCACCTTTTATAGCTTTAGCACTCTTCACTTGTAAAGGGTGAAGGAAATGGCACTGTCCTAGTACCAAGGTATTCTTTTCTATAGACTCATAGATTCAGCAATTGACTATGTCTGGGTGAAGTTTGGTGGTGAAGAATAGAAAATGGGCATCTTGGGAAGCTGGAAATCAGGAGTTATGGGAAATAGAGCCTCCAGTCATCATGAAACCCCAAGGACAAACTGTAGAAATGCCCCCTCAAAGAGAGGAAAAACTAAAACCAGACAAAATCAGACAGGGAGACAAACCATAAGAGACTTTTAATCATAGGAAACAAATGAGGGTCGCTGGAGGGGAGGGGTGCGGGGACGGGATAAGAGGTGATGGGCATTAAGGAGGGCACTGGGTGATATATAAGACTGATGGATCACCGAGCTCTACCTCTGAAACCAATAATACATTACATGTTAATTAATTGAATTTAAATAAAATTTTTAAAACTCCTTGGACAATTCTTATTCCCTAGTCACCTCTCTAGATTCTTCTTCCTGTTTCCTCTTTTTATTTCCCCTTAAGACCCTGGAGTCCAAAGTATCAGAGTCCCTCTTGGCCTATTATAGAATACAATCTCATTTTATACCTACTCATTTACCCTTCTTTACCTGGTTATTTAGTCTTCTGTCCCTGAAGGAAGCACAAACCTTTTTTTTCTCACTTAAAAAATTATTATTAATCAATTATTATATACCAGCACTGGGGAATATGGAGAGGATAAGCCTGAAACAAGACTGATTATTAAGTTTTGAAACCATGGGTTGATATTTTTGGATTCCCTTTCTGTCTATAAGGAATATAGAAAGGATCTCCTCCCTCCCTCCCTCCCTCCCTCCCTTCCTCCCTCTCTCCCTCCCTTCCTTCCTCCCTCTCTCCCTCCCTTCCTCCCTCCCTTTCTCCCTCCCTCCCTCCCTTCCTCCCTTCCTCCCTCCCTTCCTTCCTCCCTTCTCTCCTTCCCTTCTGCTCTCCTTCTCTTCCTTCTACTTATAGCTTTTGGGAAAGAAAGGCTCAAATGATAGTGGTGGGTCTTTGGAGTAGAAAGAATTAAAGTAAGACTGATTTATATTTAAGGAAAACCTTTATATTGGAATTTTGTCTCAGACCTCTCAATTCTTAATCTTTTAAAATTGCTCTGTTTATTCTATATTTTTATAATGGGTAATCCAGTATTGTTTCCATAACATCTCTCTAACAATATAAGAGTACTGGATTTCATGTACCCTGTAATTATAGATTTATAATTAGTCATAATTCTAACTTATTTAGAGATAAAGAGTTTAAACTTCTGTAATTGGTTTTTAGAGTAAGTAGCACTTCACATGTTTTAGAATCTGTCCTTTTTTGGTTTTTGAAATCTGTAACATTTTAATTGTTGATATTTTCATATGTAGGACTAATAACTTTTGAAAATCTAGATTCTTACATTTACCTTTTACCCCCCCTGCAGGAATCAGAGATGGAAACAGAAGAAGAGGTTGACATTTTAATGAGTAGTGATATTTACTCTGCAACTTTATCAACCAAATCAATTTCTTTCACGCGTGCCCAAACTGGATGGCTTTTTCGGGAAGATAAAACAGTATGTACAAATCTTGATTTTTCAACTTTAAAAATTGCTCAGTATTTAATGTTGCCAAAATAATATGATGGAGATGCAGGAAGAAGTAGCTTACTGAATTGTCTTCCAGTGGTTTATTCCTTCTCCTGAATCCAGATAAGGAATTATAATGATTGTTTACAGAATTGGAAGATACTCTTACAAAAGCCAAGAGAGAAAGTTTAGCTCATTTGAATTTTGTTGAGAAAGATTCTTGCTGTCAGCTACCTTGTCGTTTGCAGGGAACAGTGTCTTCACATGGTTCTATTACATTTCTTATGCTTTTATTCCTTAAGAAGATGGCAAAGAGGGATACACTTTTGAATTCGTTTCCCTGGGTCTTTTTTTTTTTTTCCTTTCCACTTTTAGACTTCCAAACTATTTACTCACTTGCTGTTTCTCAGTATTCTGTATATATGACTAAAATAAGCTTTCATTTCTATAACATTATCATTAAATTAAATTTCTGTGGAGGTTCGTTCACTTAGTGAATTGTAAATTCTTTCCATAATTCTCATTGCATTTGTCAGCAAGAGGTTCTATAAGATTATTCAAAATATTTTTAAAAATGTTTAATTAGATATATGAAGAAGCCTTTTTTAAAGTTTTAAATAAAATTAAAAATAAGTCATCACAGAGGCACCTGGCTGGCTCAGTCAGGGGAGCATGCAACTCTTGATCCTGGGTTTGTGAATTCAGGTCCCACATTGGGTGTAGAGATTACTTAAAAATAAAAATATTTAAAAAAAAAAAGAATAAATCATCACATAGGTGAAGGTCAAGATTTACTGCTTTTAATAATTATGTTTTAAAAATTATGTTTCATTATACATAGAAATGTAATAATTCTAACTAGAAAAACAAAAATAGCTTATATTAGAGTTCTCTTAGGAGGAAATCAGTAGGAAATCTCTCTTTATGTATCTCTATATACCTAAAACACATAGATACATGTATATCTATATGTACTATATGGATATAGAGAGAGAAGGAGGGAGAGGTATAGGGGAGATTGATTTATTTAAAGGAATTGACTTATATGAGTATAGGTGCTGGCCAGTCTGAAATCTGTAGAGCAGTCTACCAGGTTGGAAATTCAGAGAAGGGTTGATAACGGTCTTGAGTCTAAAATCAATAGGCTGGAATCTCAGGCAGGGTTTCTATGTTACAGCCTTGAGTCAGAATTGCTTTTCCTTTGGGAAACTTTAGTCTTTGCTCTTTGGTCTGTATTTGTTTGGGTGAAGTCTGCCTACATTATGGAGGCTAATTGGCTTTATTCCAAGTCCACTGGTTTAACTGTGAATTACATCTAAAAAATACCTCCACAGCAACATCTAGACAGGTATTAGACCAGATAGCTAGGCACTATAGTATAGCCAAGTTGACACAAAATTAATCACCATACAACCTTATACATAAACCTGTAAAGTGCCACTATATCACTACTCAATCCCTAGAATACTTTGTAGAGGATTACCCATTTGTATATCCTCTAGACCTTTCTTATGCTGTAAATACATTAATATGTATCCATAGTAATATGTATCTTTAGTGGTTGATATTTATTTTTTCTAGTGTTGTATTATGTCTTTCGTTTTGCAACTTTTTTTTTTACTCTTTAGTATGTTTAGAAAGCTTTTTTTTTTTTAATTTTTATTTATTTATGATAGTCACAGAGAGAGAGAGAGAGGCAGAAACACAGGCAGAGGGAGAAGCAGGCTCCATGCACCGGGAGCCCGACGTGGGATTCGATCCCGGGTCTCCAGGATTGTGCCCTGGGCCAAAGGCAGGCGCCAAACCGCTGCGCCACCCAGGGATCCCTAGAAAGCTTTTTCTTATCAGCAGTACCAGTTCATTCTTTTTTAGCAACTGCATAGTATTCCATAGTATGGATATATTGGGTGTTGTGTAAACAGTTGGCTGTTTTCGTGATTCAAGAACGTTCAGGATTAAAAGCAGACACAAAATTGTGCTTTTTTATCTAGTCTCTTATTTATGGACATTTTGATGAATGACACACATTTGTGTCCAGTTTTCTGCTATTACAAATGATGTTTTGTTTGCCATCCATTTACATGCCTTTGCATTGTCTGTTATAGATAGAAAAAAATGGAATGGCTGGATTTTGAAGAATATACACTTACAATTTTTATTGATATGATAATTTAATAAATGCTTTTTCATTTTAAGATTTCAAAAACTGAGAATTATCTCCTGAGTATTTCTCAACCACAGAAAGATTCTCACTATTAGATGTAGGCTCATCAATTTTATTTTCTAAGCCTATTTGGCAACAAATAGTGTTATGGGATTTCCAGTTGTGAACTCCCACACTGCAGTCCATTTGTCGGCTTGAAGTCTTATTTGTTTGTACTCTGTTCTTCTGGACAGCATTAGAAGGATCACCTCAAGAAAAGATAAAAATTGAAGCTGCTATTCATCTAGTGCTACTGCTAAGCAGCTTAAAGCTCTTGAACAGCGTCTAGGTGATCTTCTTAAATCTTTGACAGGTAAGGAGGGAGTCAGTAATAATTATGGTTCCCATTTTGTAGGTAGAAACAGGTGCAGAATGCCTGACTTTTTGGTGACTGGTAAGGAGGCCACCAAAAGTAAGGTGTACATGGAAACAACTCTAAACACAGTTTTGGAATGCCAAAAAATATCAGCAAGATGGGACCAGGTGATTTGCATACAGGTAGAAATGGGAAGCTTGTTTTCAGTAAGTTATTGATCGTGGGTTTTGTAGTAAGGTATTTGAAACTGACCACTCACGGGTCTGAAAAAGGTAAAGGTTAATGTTGAAGGAGGACTTCATTGAAAGGAAGTAATAACTCTTTTCTTGGTATCATTTATATCACTTGAGTTTTCTTACCCAAATCCATAATGTAAACACTTAATTGTATTGGTCAGCAAGACCATTCTGTTGTTCTCTCTTCTTTACTGAAAGAAGCAATCAACTGTAACTTGAAGTTAGATCCTGTTACAGAATAGATTATTGGAACAGGTAATTAATTCTAGGTGTGCTAGAGATTCCTGTGTGAATTAGAATATTTATTTTCATTCCACTTTTTTTTTCTATCTGTAAAATGGGAACAGTAATTATCCCTGACCCCTCCTTGTTACTCATGGTGTTTGACTATCAGCTAAATAAAGTTTTCAGATAGCTTTGTGCCACTTGGGAGTAGATTCTAAAGGAATACTATGTGGTATTTTTATTTAGATTTAATCATTTGCAGATTATCATATATCTTGTGTGTTTTAAATTTTCCTTTGCAAATGTGAAATGTGTAATTTTGTATATAATTGAGACAATTTGATAAGCTCAATTACCAAAGAAGTATTTATTTTTACCTAAATGCTACATGTTTGTGGAAAAACATGTATATTTGAAACGTTCTTTTTAATCTTTAAAACTTAAGATAAACTTAATTCATTTTGTTTTTTTGAAATATTTTAATATTTTATTTTGATTATTTAATTTTGTTTTAGGAAAGAGTAGGAAACTTTTTGGCAGACTTTTATCTGGTGAATGGACTTGTTTTAGAATCAAGAAAAAGAAGAGAACACCTTAGTGAAGAAGATATTCTTCGAAATAAGGCCATTATGGAGAGTTTGAGTAAAGGTGGAAACATAATGGAACAGAATTTTGAGGTATAATATTTACTTCTAATTTATAACGTTCTAAGGAGAGAGGGGGTAGACTTCATTCCTGGCACTCAGTGAATTTATATCAGTACACTAAGTACACCCATAGAGGTTGTTTTGTTTTTTTTAACTAGCTATCACCTTTTATTTTTCTGTGATAGTGCCTTTGGTGGTTTTTTGTGAATCTATTCTTGGCCTCTGAGTCTTCATTAATAGATTAAAATCATTTTGTAAGCATGAAACCCAGTGTTAAATTTTAATTTGTGTCCCTTTGCATATCTTTCCTGCTTCACCAACTGAAATCTTGTGTTGCTTTGAAGGCCCAGCTAAAGAATTACCTCTTTTATGAAGTCATTTCTAAGCTGTAACTTCCCATAAGTTGTATTCAGCATGTATATCTTGAGAGCATGCTATATGCAAAGAATCGTGTGACAGTAGGGAAAGGGGAGGGGAAGTTAGGAGATACAAAGGTCTATGAGACATCATCATTGCCTCTGCAATGTTATTTCCTCATAAGATGAATTGGATGGGTTCTTAAATTTATTTTTTATTTTGGCAATTTTAGATTTACAAGTAAGTACAAGAAAACGGTACAAAGAATTCGATACTTTTCATCAAGATTCCCCAAATGTTAACATTTTACTACAGTTATAAGCATTGCTTTTCAAATCAAAGGCAACATAGGGACCCATTAGTAGGTTATGAAATTAATCCAGTGGGCTATGACCATCCTTTTTTAAAAGAGAAAAAAATGAGAACCTAAGTAAAGATGTTAGAGTAAAACCAGAGCACATCACATGTAATATGGGCCATTATTACCTAACGAAATAATAGTTTCAGGGGTGTATGTGTCACATAAATAAACAAATGTGTGAGTGCTGGTTGTTTGAAGTGTAAAATATGACTCACAGGAGTAAAAAAGATTGAAGGTTACTATGAGGAGGCTTGAATCTGTGAATGTGTGGTCTTTCTCCTCTGGTATTATGCTAGATTATGTTTTAGGGATAAACTGTTTCAGAATAGTATGTCAGGTTCCAGCTAATTGATGTTGATGCTGTGTGTGTGGAAAATATTTTAGTTTTTAGAAAGTTCATGTGTTTAGTGAATCAGCCATAGTTTATTTAGTTAAATAAGTGCAGAATATAAAATGTTTAAGAATCCTCATTAAATGTTAAGGAAACATTGTGATTATGCCAGTGTAGTGTGATTCCATCCCCTTCCTGCCAGATCCTCTTTGTATTCGTTTTTCTTTTGGCCTTTTCATTTTCTGGAAGACTTCTGGTCTGGTCTAACTGATCTCTTGGTCAGTAGGAGATGTAGGACACGATATGCTCAGGGAATAGAAATGGAGATGAACTGAGAGAGAGAATGCTGAGCTCAGTCTTTGACAGAGCTGCTACCCTCTTCCATTATTGACGAGACAAAAGGCCATTTCTTTGGACTTGCATTTTGATTTAGATTTTATTGAACTTGTTTTTTTTTAAAATGATTTTGTTAAAAAAAGATTTTGTTGTCGTGGTAGGTATTGCTACCTATGTTTAAGTTTGGCAGTAAACTATTTTGGGATGAATACACAGAAACAAAACTTTATAGATTAGAATTTCATGGGCCATTAGCCAGCCATTTGTCTTCAGTTGTCTTTTTAACTACATTTAAACTTAACAGTATACAACTTGATTTTCTTCAGGGCAGAAATTATAACCTGATGCACCTGAATTGTTCAAAGGCCATTTAAATGGCATTTTAATCAACAGTAGTTTTGAACTTTGAACTTAAAACATAGTTTAATTCCAAAGAGGTATGTAATAGAACCAAATAATATGAAATAAATTAACTAAACAAGCTTTCAACTTCTGATCAGAAATCGGAAGAAACAGTTCCTGTGTGAAGCATAGCCCTTGAACTATATATAGGTGATGATGATTGATGAATATTTAAATTCAACTTGTCAGTTTCTACAAAAGATAAAAAACTTGGTGGGATTTTGATTAGGATTATGTTGAATATATATATCAATTTTTACATAAAGGTCTGCTTGATTTTTCTTTTCTTTTTTGATTTTTTTTAATTTATTTATGATAGTCACAGAGAAAGAGAGAGAGGCAGAGACACAGGCAGAGGGAGAAGCAGGCTCCATGTACTGGGAGCCCGACGTGGGATTCGATCCCGGGTCTCCAGGATCGCGCCCTGGGCCAAAGGCAGGCGCTAAACTGCTGTGCCACCCAGGGATCCCTCTGCTTGATTTTTCTTAATTCATCTTTTTATTCTGAAATAACTATAGGTTCAAATACATAGTCCTAAGAATATGCCTCACCCAGTTTTCTCAAATGGCAACAAACGTCTTGCAAAACAGTAATACAGTATCGTAACCAGGATATTTACATTTCCAGTCAAGATACAGAACATGTCCATCACCACAAGATGCCTCATATTCCCCTTGTATACGCACACCTTCTGCCCTTTTGCACCTTCCCCGTCCTTCATCCCTGGCAACCATTAATTTGTTTCTCCATTTAAAAAATTTTGTCACTTCAAGGATACTGCACATAACCTTTTGAGCTTTTTTTTTTTTTTTTTCCACTCAGCTTAATTCCCTGGTAGTTTTTCCAAGTTGCTGTGTAAGTCAATAGTTTGTTCCTTTTACTGCTGAGTAGTAGTCAATGTTGTGAATGTACCATAGTTTGCTTAACTATTCACCTGTTGAAGGAAACATGGGTTGTTTCCAATTTTAGGTCATTTCAAATAAAGCTGCCATGAACATTCACCTGTAGGTTTTTGTGTGAATGGAAGTCTTTATTTCTCTGAGATAAATGCTCTCTTTGGGAATGTGTGAAGCTTGTGTATGTGTTTGTGTGTATGTTTGAGGGGTATATGGGGAGAGGGGCCCTGGAGGAGTGGGCCATCAGACCTTGTGTGCCTCACCACCCTGGTGGCTCTAGAGGACAGTTCATGCCAGTTGTCTGATTTATCTACTCTGTGTACTGTTCGTACTGTAATCGGGCCCAAGTGTCCAAGAACACCCAGCTCCAGTGAACAGACCAGGTTCAGCTACTTGCCACCGGCAAGATCCAAAAGCAGAGAGACAAGTGGTTGTGAAATAAGGAAGGAATTTATTTTCGTGACGCCAACACCAGGAAGATAGTTAACTGAAGTCTCAAAGACTATCCAAAGTGCTGAAAATACTTCTGGGTTTATGTAAGGAAAATGTGGGACAAAGCTCAGTGGGCACATGCTGCTGAACAGTAAAAGTCAGGTTGATCATTGTCTTGGGATCAATTAGCGGGGTCTTGCTGGTGTCAGGGCAGTTCTTATTGCTTGAGGGAGTAGTCTGGGTTTCTATCAAGGGATCCTTTGCTTGTAGGGTTTTTTGCCTGAGTTAAAAGATGACTGGAAAGAACCTAATTAGAAAGTACAGCCTGAGGTCAAATGGAGGTAGTGAAGTGCTTTTCAGCACTCATCTCTAGAATGCCCACTTCCTGCCCTTGCTTTAGTCCATTCAGAACTCCCTCCACAATGAAGAGTTCACACATCCCTTTCTTGGGGTGGGGAGGGATTTCTTCATTCAGGTCCAAGTGCAATGAAGAGTACAATTAATGGATTGGATGGTAGTTAACATGTTTAGTTTTATGAGAAACTGCCAAAATGTTTTCCATTTTCCATTCTCTAACAAAATACAGTAGATTGGATGGCTTAAACAACAAGGGTTTATTTTTCACAGTTCTAGAGGCTGGGAAGACCACGGTCATGATGCTGGCTATTTGCTTCCCAGATAAGGGTTTTCTTACTGACTTACAGATGACCTCTTGCTGTGTTCCTAGGTGGGGGAGAGCACTCTGGTCTCTTCCTTATCTTATGAGGACAGGAATCCCATCATGTGGGTCCCACTTTATGACCCCATCTAAATCTAATTACTTCCCAAAGGCCCCACCTCAAATACCATCTCATTGGTGGTTAGAGTTTTAACACGTGAATTTTGGAGAGATAGGCATTTAGTACATAACGGATAGTGAACAGTGCTGTCTCATTGTGGTTTTATTGCATATCCTTAATGGCTAATGATATTTCAGTGCTGATATTTTCATGTGCTTATTTGCCATAAAATATATAGATTTATATCCTCTTTGATAAAATGTTTCTTCAGATCTTTTGCCCATTGTCTAGTTTGTTTCTTTAATGTTAGATTTTAAAGTTCTTTATACATTCTAGGTACTAGTTCTTTGTCAGATGTGTGTGCAGATATTTTTTTCCTACTTTGTAGCTTATTTTTTCATCCTATTAAACTGGTCTTTTGAAGAGGAAAAGTCTTTAATTTTGATAAGATCCAGGTTATCAGTTTTTATTTTATGACTTCCACCAAATCTAAAAACACTCTGCTTAGCTCCAAGTCCCTAAGATTTTCTCCTATATGTTTTTGCTGAAACTCTTATATTTCTACATTTTACTTCTAAATCCATAAATTAGTTAATTTTGTGTAAGATATGATGTATGACCAAGGTTTATTTTTTTGGCTTGGATGTCCAGTTGATTTAGCATCATTAAAAAAAAAAAAAAGAAAAAAGGTCTATCCTTCCTCCATTTGAATCACAACCTGCTGGAATTTTTATTGGGGTAGTGTTGAATTTATAAATTAAAGTAAGGGAACTTGATATCTTAAAAATATTGAGTCTTCTGTTTTATGAACATGGTATATCTCTCCATTTATTTAGATCTTCTGTAGTTTTACCTCAGAAGTGTTTTGTAGTTTTTAGTATACCAATCTTACACATATTTTACTAGGTCCCTCTCAAGCATTTAGTATTTTTTAGTGCTTTCATAAATGGTAATGTTTTTATATTTCATTTTCTAGGCATTCCATTATAGCATATAGAAATACATATGATTTGTCCATATTGCTAAATTAATAGTTATATAGTTTTTATAGACTCTTTAGGATTTTCTACAGATGATCATGTTTCATTGCCAGTCTTTTAGCCTTTGTTTTTCTTATTGCACTGGGAAGTAACACC